GAAAGCTGGCCTTGCAGAATCCAGCGTTGCCTTCTAGGAAACAAAGTTTCTGACACACGCTGGGGTCATACCAAAAGCCGGAGAGAATCTGTTTAAGCGGCTTAACCGGGTCCGCGCAATCCAAAGAATGATCCCTGTAAGAACCTCTGCAAATACTTCTCAAACTTCAACCTCGGGTGGCCCTGGAAATTGGATCTTCCAGGACGGCACCGCGCCCCGCCTTTGGCCATGTGACCGGGATACCTGCTTGCTGTGCATTCAGATTCTATGCAATGTCCCTGTTTTGAGGGCACGCAAGCAGAGTCAAGTGCACCGGTTCTGGAAGCTTGTTTAGTACTCACCTCTTGCCTTCGGCGAGATATTTGGACTGTCCGGAGGCGAGAGCACTGCACTCCAGGGATCAGCTGGAGCAGGTAACAAAGTAGCGGTGCCTTGGCTGTGTTCTAAGAGCTGATGCAAAAGGTTTATCGAACAAAAGGAAAATGCACAGCAGCCGCAGTAGTAGTTGATTCTCCGGACATGTTCTACACGCCACGTTGACCGGGGGAAACAAAGAGAAGTGTTGTTCGCTGGCCCTGCAGTTTGCCCAGCACGTATAGAAAACTAACCAATGCTCAGCCTACATGGGTACTAGGAGTGGCGACACTTGCCCAAGAAGTACCTCCTTGCAAGACTGCCAAAGCACAGAAATGATGCCACGGATGATGCCAGTAACAGCTATGGCCAAGCTATCCAAGCTACCTTTGTGATTCTGTTCAGCTGGCCATCGCTGCGCCTGGTCAACACTGCAGAGAGCCATTTTGTCAAGATGGGAGGCGTTCTTATTTGAGTATGCTTAGCGCACCAGCCTGAAGAGTCGAAGCAGCTCTTGGTCGTGCAAGGATTTTCTTCGTGCAGAAAAGGTTTGTCAACAATGATCTGCATACGATATTGCCATGCTTGTCTAGATCAGCGAACCAGCATTGACGTCCACACACATAGGCCAAGCAGAAACAACCACAACGCATGCCAGGCAAACTATTGGGAACGACTGCCACAGGCTGACTTAGAAGAATAACAGGTGTTGCCTCTGGACCAGCCACTGGCCAGGGCGACGCTTTCCCTGCCAACATGCCAGCATCCTTCTGCCGCTTTCTGTGCCCGCCTGGGGCTATGCCTGCTATATCCCGCTATGCACTGCTGCGCCAGAAACAGTTCCCGGGGCAATGCTGCTCAAGGGCTTTATCGTCTTTGACTCCGTGCCACATCTTTGCATTCTATGTAGAAAGAAGCGATCGGCGGAATCTGCCCTGACACCTTCCAGAACATCTTTATGTAGGTAGTTGTACTATGCATCTTCGCTATGCTGCAGCAGCAGTACCCGCTTACCTGCTGAAGCATTAACTTTGACTTGTCTTGCAGACCTTTTCACCCATAGAGCCTGGGCTGCCAGGGTCGCCGCCGCTGCGCGGACCTGCACATAAAGGCTGCATTAGCGTTTGCGAGTCGCACAAGAAGACCAATCAAAATGGAACAGCAAACCTTTGTGAGTCCTGGTGCTTCTAGCATTTGTCACACACACACACACATCATCATCATCATCATCATCATCATCATCATCCATACCATCATCATCATCATCATCGTCATCATCATCATCCATATCATCATCACATGGCGCAGAAGTAACTACGCAAACCCTACGGCTGAGTCGCGTTTTTTGGTGGTTGATCCTGGTTTAGTAAGGTTATATTCCTCATATAAAATACTAAACCTAGAAGGAGGAGATAGTCTTACTCTATATTGGGGACCATAATATCCTCAAGGAAATCACCACTCAGCTGTAGATGCCCTCGTGAGAGCTGACTCCCAGAAAGTGAAGGAAAACCTTGGCAGCCACTGCAAAGGAATCACACAGGCAGACTTTGCCACCGAAACCTGCCCGTCTGTGAAGAAGATTGGCCGTTGCACACAGCGCAACTGTTTCAAATGCGAGGAATGCGTGAACAAGCCAAGCGGCTTCCAGCAGGCGTGTTGGTCCAAGGTGACGCACATGGCCTCAAGCACACACACATGACTCACAAGTGAGGCACTGACATGTAACCTCTGAATAACATGCTCCTGTGAAAGGATTTGGGTCAACCTTGAGGCACTTGCCGAAACACTTCAAATGCCAACGCTGCACTATTGGAGCGTCACTGAGATCCTGTCCAAGTCGTCACCAAGTCCGATGCTAACTGGGCCAGTAGGTGAGCTGTGAGGAGAAGAGAAGATCAAGAAGTTTTAGATTTGTTGTATGATGCATTGAACGCCGAGCTCTTCGCGCGGCCTTAAATGCAGTGCATAACATGCACGCAACGAGAGAGAGAAAGAGAAAGAGAGAGAGAGAGAGAGAGAGCAGACCTGTGCATTGGCAAAGTAAAAAAAAACGGTAGATGGCATGAAAACCAGAAGCTGGATGTCAAGAAATGAGTCAGGGATGATCAAAAAAGATCACAACACATGAGCGTCACAATTCCACGTGTCCCGGCCCGCGCGTCCTATGAGGTGACTTATGCGTCCATGCAAACGGTCTGCGTTGCGTTTGAAGTACACCGGCTACAGAGCACCATTTTGGACTTTGCACAGAATACTAGATTGCACATTCCTGGCGCCTTCTTTCCCATCCTGCACGCTGCAGGAGTGGGCAGCACGCAGGCACGTGAAATGCGAAACCCGGCATGGAATCTTCTCGACAGAAACGGTGAAGCCGTCCCGGGCTCCATCGACCAAGTCACTCGTCAGAGGAACTCAGAATCATAACATGGGCCTGGTGCTGTAGAGTCCCTCACACACTGCAGCCTTGGACAGGTCGGCATAGAGCCCTACCCCAAAATGCGCCGTCAAGGCATGAGAGGCTACCGCATCCCCTCTTGTTGCAGCGAGGCATGTCCACGTGTGCATGGTCTGCACAACACACTGGCCATCTGCCCCCCCCCCTCTGAACAACGCACCAACTTGGCTGAAGCGCTGCCACTGGCCACAACTCGTCTCGCTGCTTGGTTTTTGTTGAGTCGCTCTTTTTGCCGCTGCTTCACCACCGAGCCTTCTCTAGGTTGCCAACAGCACATATGCCCCCAGGCCAGAAACCCCCCCCTACCACTGCGGCCTGCAGGCACTGCCTGTTGAACTGCACTAGCAGCTTGGCCGCAAACATTCACAACAATGCTTGACTATCTTGCTGCAACTGAACCAAGACCAACTCTGCACGTTGGAGCAAAACCTACTTCGAGCCCCGTTCTTGTTGCAAGCGAGTCCTGCTCGTGTTACTAGAGTTCCTGGCTGGAGACGATAGCCCAATCCGACTTTGCATCCAGCTCCAGTAAGAAGAGCATCATCCGCCTCGTATAGTGCTTTCAAAGCGCGCTTTCAAATCGAAAGGCTTCCCAAGACCCGCCACCGCCAGCCCTGGCGGCGACACCCACAGGCCACCCTTTGGAAACCTGAAATTACAATGCCACAGCAGACAAGCAGCCAAACTCGTGCGCCATCACAGACTTAACCAGTGAGTTCAGCTCAAGCTGAAAGGTACGTCTGCCACATAGATGGACAGGAGCGTCGTTGAACATTGTCGTGTCGGAATCGAAAACGAACGGTCCCAAACAAATTTGGCCAATTCGATGCACCATGCTTGCCAGGTATATGTGAGAAAGACAAAAGAGAGAGAGAGAGAGAGAGAGCGAGAGAGAGAGAGAGAGAGAGAGATAGAGAGGGAGACTAAGACGCAGACGCACGCACAACTTGTGGCACAGACACAGGGAGAGCGAAAGCCACGGTTGGTTCAGGAAAACAAGACAAAAACCCGAATGCCTCAGAGGCCCAACTAATGACAACCCCACGCCCCTTCCACTCTGTATGCACATCACGAGCTCTCCTCCTGCAGTTAGAAATTCTAAGGGGAGACGCAGACTGCTCATCATACCAACGCATTCATGCAAATGAATGTTCTGGGAAGCCCGCCGCTTTCGGACTCGTGACGGTGACCTCTTGCAGATTCTTAGGGCATCATACAGCAAAGCAGGGTGGAATAGCTTCTCAGGCTTTGGGTGTTCTTCAGCGAGCAAGACGTATTCCAAGCGGCTTCATTCATGTTAGGTGGGCTTTTCGGCTTAGACTGATAAGGTTACACTCAGGTCACACTGTTCAAAGAGAACACAGAGGCAAAATCTTGCAGGCACATATCCCCAGCTTAAGCAACGACTTGGAGACAGTCTGAGTAAACGACTTGCGGCCAAACAACAGCAGCTGCCTTGGGACCTTTGCAACCGAGGGTTTGGGACCGCTAGCGTGGCTCCCAACCCACTCCATGCCAAATCCGGACCTGGATGGATGTGAAGCAGAAGACACAAATGCCACAGCTCTGGGCGCTCGAGCTGTCTGGTGCAGAGGCACCGTTGGGCCTGGCAAAGAAGCCAGGATGAGTCCGCACTGAGAACACGGCGTTGCGAGTCCTGAACATTGCGTTTGTTGGGTGGCCTTTGCCTAGATGCAGGGCTCCCAGCATCCCACAAAGGACGAGACCTTGGCAACCAGGCAAAGCTACTCAATAGACTTTTTCTTGCCAGGCTTCACATGCACGAGCTCAAAACTGCGGCAGCATCCAGCTCCTTTTCTGCTGAGCTTCAGATGTCGGGGCGAGCATCTAGAGCGAAGCCTTCAATCGCAACACGTTCCAAGCTGGATGTTTTGTGGTGTCACTTCTGCTTTGGGGCAGAAACTCACTTGGGGACCTCATAAGTGCCTTCTGAAAAAATCTACTTCTCATACCAGCTCGGACTGTACAGAGTGCGCAGGCTTCTTGTGTAATCTGACTACATGCTTGCATGCAAAATTGTGGAACAATCAAACCAAAGAAAAATGCTAAATCTAGCATGCTCCCGCGGCCAATCCAGAGACAGTCACATCGCCCAGCTGCGATGAGAAGCACCGCTGCAGAAGAAACCCTGGTTTACCCTGGGTTCATCGGCAGGCACAAGGACGTTTCATACTTCCAGTCCAAGGAGCCTCCAAAGACTGGCACAACTTACGAAACTGATGCACAGAAAGCTCGCAGCAAGCCGGCTGGCTTGCTGCACAAAGGTCAAGCCCGCAGCAGCTAGCAAAGGCGTGATCAGCGCTGAAAGCCTGAGAAGTGAAAGCCAGGTGAAACAAGCACTGCAATGCTTCAACCCTGTCACTACTTGAACTTCCAAGAGACGTGAAAGATGCTGCGAAGGCAGTCGGAAGCATGGCCGCCCGCTTGTAGGAGCTGTCGAAACCCTCCTTTTCTGCTCATAGCATCGCTGGAGCACTCCATGCGGGGGCTCGCAAAAAACTTCAAGAAATGTCGCGTGAACTACTGACTGCTAAATGCGTTTCACTAATAGGCTGCTAGGTATGTCAAGGATCTGAAGATCCAGCTCCACCCAAGTACCCCACATGAGGGATCCATAGCCCAGCATCGCGGAAGAAGATGGCAGTCAGGGCCAGGAAGCCACAAACCACCGCCGTCGCCGGCAACACCAGCTGTGAAGCAATGATCTGCCCCGACAAGCTTCCTGCCACGAGCATAGTGGGTGCTGCACCAAAGTAGAGCACCAGCCAGTTGCAGATGAAGAAGGGTGGCAACAACGGGGACAAGCCACTCGTAAAGCCTGAGTCATTGAGGCGGGTGGTTGCCACGGCAAAGAAGTTGCAAAAGGCAGACGCTGCCAATATCAATGCGTGCGTCAGACTGTCAGGAGCTTCCGAATGTGTTGCGAAAGCCCAGCAGGTGTAGAACAAGCCGATAAACCATGCCAAGAAGGCAAGGTTCGTTGCCAACATATCAACGTGATAGCCTTCGCTAAAACTGAAGCTTAATTTGACCATAAAATCATGCAATGTATCTTGGGGTCGCAAAGTTTAGTTAGTATTCGGCAAAAAGGACACAAGGCCTGCACACACCTTGTAGGCCATGAAGTGTGCGAAGCTGGAAGCGGCATCCTTGCCAAAAAGTATCGGACGAGGCAGTGGGACAGGCTGTGTCCGCGGCATGCTGAAGCAAGGTGCTGGCAGAGATGGCGGGTTGGAATGGACGCCCAACAAGCGGGAAGATCTGTTGCAAGGAGTGCAGGAGTGGAGGGTTGCAAAAAATGTTTTCGGCTGGTTGGCAAGCGAACTACAGTAGCATATGCAAGTGCTCAAATTTGAGACATGTGGCTGCATTGCAGGGCTTGCAAACATGCTCTTCTGGGCACTGCATCTCTGAATCTCCTATTGAAGGATGGACACGTCATGACACAGAAGGCGGCTCAAACTTGCAAAACTTCAGCTGCCAGGTCACGCATCCAGTTCTGGCCATGCCGTCACCTGATGCGAACGTCGCGGAAAATTGAGCGAAGCTGCCGGAGGACTAGCTAGCAAAGTGGCCTTGATGGTCAAGGCGCCATCACAGGTGGGCTGAGGGTGCACTTTTTCACCGTGGGCTGTAGCATGATCATAGTTCTTCATTTGTCGATTCTCTTCTGCCTTGCGTCTGGACTGGTTCTTTCAGCGAACCCGTCCCCTCATCCAACCAGTGATGAACTCGTCTGGAGGCACCCTTTGAACCCAAGATCGCTTGCCGCCCAGCCTGCGAGTCGAGGGGCCACCTTGCAGGCTCAGTTGCAAGAGTTTGGCTCGGTCCAAACGCCCCCAGAGGCTACAGCGTGGCTGCATGGAATGAAATCCCTGCTGAGCGTTGAGCCCTCACATGTTCAAGAGCGAAAGTCAACAGACTGCCCTTCTCTCTTCCGCTTGGGCAAATGCCGATCCGGCCGGCTTGCTTCAAAGGTGGAGGTGCCTGCAAGGTGCCAAGCCCCCTGCAATCCTGCCCAAAGCTACCAAGAGTTTGGTCATTTCAAATTGCCTTCACTTGAGGTTGTGAAGGCTCAGCGCACCTTAGAGCGCTGCATCCCTGATTTACAATCGGACTGCCTGGTACTGCTGCCCAAACGGCTTCCGGCTTCACCGTCGCATGCGAGACCTCTACGGACAGTCTCACATCAAGAAGTTCTTAGACTCGTGGCAATAAGCAAGTGCAGACCGCAATGGCACTAAGACTCTTGAAGCTGCTGCCTGGTACGTGGATGACTCTGGATGACTGCTGTTCTTTGCGCTTGGGAGTTGAGGCAAAATTGCTACTAGTGTGGCTAACAAAGTTCAATGGCCTTCATACTCACGCATGAAGCTAATGCTTGGGAGGATGTAAGACTCGAAGCCCAATGATCTCAACAAGTATTGGAGCCTCAACTGGTCACTTCAGTGGTCCAAGAAAGCTAGGACTGTCAACAAAGCATCTCACAAAACGTCTCAAACACAAAGTCATGCACTTACGTCACCCTGAACAAACACCACCAACAGCAAGCACGAACTGCACTGGTAAAGCCCTTGAGGATGTAGCTCCTGCAGCATTCATTTGGCAAACTGTGGAACCGAAGCCATGTAGCTGCACATTGGCTATTTGCCTACTGCAACGCAGATGAGAACACTCTGGTCTCCAGGTCCGGTCATGCAGCCACCTTCGCAACTGCTGGCGAGTGTGAGCCGGTGGAAGGCTCGTGCCTTGAGGGACGCGGAAGGTCCAGAAGCAGGACATGACTTGATTTGATTTCCTTTTCATAAACATCACGTCTGTCGCGACCTGTCAATGCACTGCCATCTATGGCTTGGACGTTGGACTGCTCCAGGCCTCAGGGGCGGACCCAGGTTCAACAGGTAGCGTTTTCGTGCTGTGAGTTCTGCGATAAAAGAATTTTACACTTGCAAACTTACCCATTTGCTTTGGCTATCAAAACGTCAGGGAAGGGCTTGGATTCGCAGTGCGCAGCCGAGCGTTGACAGAAAGCAATAGTTGGTGGGAGAACCAAGGCTGTTGAGAACTAGGTGACCAAGGCTGGTGCTTCCAAAGATCGCCGCACTTTCTTTGGCTGCATACCCGACATTGCTCTTGCAGCTGCTGTTATCGTGACTTCTAATACTACGATTGTCCTCCTTAAGCTGTCATTATTGTTTCTATACTGCATCTGAATGTTTTTGCCCTGTCAACTGCACTATCTGCACTGGAGAGGGCATATTCCAAGTTCAGAACCTGTAGTAATGTAGTACTTTAAACCTGGTGTGCGGGCCATCCTAAAGAAGAAAAAGACGAACCAGGGGATTTACCGCCGCCCAGCGGCCGACCAAGGATCTGCAGCAGGCTCTGTGAGTCTTATCCGCTCCTTGCCATCTTACTTGCCAATGTTTGTGCTGCTGATGGAAGCAAGCATCTGTCCTGCGGCTCCACGTCAAAGTGTGCCCATGCGCCAAGCCTGGGCCGTACTAGATTTCTTCGAATAACACACAGCAGTAACAAACTTGGTGCACAGACTCGGAGTCCAAACAAAGCACGTTGAGCAGACTGGAGTCTAAGTGCGCTGTCTGGTGGCGTCATATTGGTGACCGTCCCCACAGGTTGGCAAGGCTTTGCCGGAAAGGCTTGGGATAGGCATGAAATTGACCTGGGACTGCTTGGAGGGACTCCAGAGCCTGAATCTCTTCAGGTCGGGTCCCTGGCGGCTCCGAGCGGTTTGGCGTTGCTGAGCCCGCTGAGGAGGGCTCCTTCAATGAGACAGCTGCAAAGGGAGGGTGTTTGTTTTCAAGACTTCAAGAATCAAAAGCAAATACACCACTTCAGGAGGTTCCCGAAGGCTAGGTACTTGTACCTTGCTTTGGGGCTTGCCTCTCCTTTTAAACTGGTTGGCTTACGCGTCGACGCAACCGGCTGGATGGTGCCATTACAATCCTTGCTGCATCAATCGTAGCCATGGGAAACATGGAACTACGATATCAGCGATCCACAAGGCAACACTGACCCTAACCAAGCAATGCAGGCGGCAACATCGGCAACCTGGTGGAAACCGTCGAAATTGGCCCATTGTAGCCTTGGCAGGCTTGTGGCTTTGATCTGAACGGTGTTATGCCTGTATGTTTCGCGTTCGCTAACAAAAGTCTCAACAAAGTTGGCTGATGACAAAGTCAGGCATTCAACGATCCTGAATCTAAGCGCCTGGCTCAGAAGACCCTGTTGCAACCTTGGGCATCAGACTGTGGACACTCTACATCAACATCCTGCCGTGCACAATCTCTGTTTCACTGAATATTGCGGTGTACTTCGAAGGCCGTCTATTAGCATCCCGCTCGCGCTGAGGGCGAGACAGGCCAGCCTTCATCAGTCAAGGCCTCCGCCTCGTGAAAACAAAAATGATCCATAGACATCCATTGCACTGCACAGGGACTTTGGCATGAACACGTAGCCAACACCTGGCCTGCACCTTCTCCGTCCGCTTCTTGGAGCCCTGCCGGTGTTTGTGCGGCTTGGACCTGGCGCTGAGAGCACGTCCTTCATGTTCCCCTATAAGAGATTATCATCCTGGTTGCGGTGTAACTTCACCACCGCCCCATCTTCGGCGGAGTCTCCAAGCGAGCGCCCACTGAACATGAGCTTTTCTTCCAATCAAGCGCTCTAGCAAATAAGCACCTGCACTTAAAGATGAAGGTCAGCTGATGCGCGAGATCTCGAATGGCGCACCTCTTTCGCTCCCCTTCGCCTGCTATCGCATCGCTGCCTCAACCAGCAGAATTCGCATTTTTTGTTGTGATGGTTGGCGCCCCGGTACATTCTGGGTTGAACCCAAATTTTCAAGAGCACAGGCCTCAAATACAGCCAACCCAACACCACTTTCAGTCTGCATGCTGCATGGCAATTTGAAAGGCTCCATTCTAACACGTTCTGGCCTGTGTCGCCAGCACTTGGTGACGATGGCTCGCGGCTGGACTGCCAGCAGGGGGCAGTGGCAAAGCCATGGAGATTTACAAGACGGTGGGTGGCACGCTCAGAATCCTGTGTGCCAGATGTGTCATTATGTTGACATGAAAGGTCAGAGTGGGCCATCAGTTTGTGGCAAAGATCCCTACATGCTCCGGCATATTGCCACGAAGTCCTTGCCGGTCGGCTCGTACAGTTTTCGAAGCTTCTCCGACTTCTCAAGCACTGGCCGGGGCCTGAAATGCATGAAATCTTGCTGCATAACTTGTGCGCATCGGTACAGTATCTGAAGAAGCTTCAACAGTCGCGTAGGGACACTCCGTCCTGTCATGATGCCTGTATGTATTGTTTTCTTACCTGGCTGGGTCCAAGATTTATGTACATCTGCAATCTAGCATTACCTCTTGATTTCTGTACAAGATCACAGGCGGAAGGCAAGCACCACGTAGAAACATGCGGAATGATCATTTCGAAGCCTGAGCCCTTGCAATTCCGGGGCACCGGACGGACTGACCTCAGCCTCATCGAAACAGACAAGCAGCGACAGTAGCGCTGCAGTGTCAGGGCGATGGGTGGGATCCTGGAAGCTGATGGATGCCACTCTATTGCATATTTGCCTCATGCCGTGCCAGCTCATGCCTACCACACAGATTGTGCCAGTGGCATGCGCATACATGAAGCAGCCCTTGAAATGCGGTCCCTGGCGAGGAGCCAGTGCGTCAGGTCTCGCAATTTGTTGGAATGCTCCGGCGTGGCCCTTGGCTTCCATGTGATACAAAGGCCACGCACCCATGAAGTCAAGTCGAATCATTGTCAGAGAGATTTCTTTATTATTAGGATCCAAACCCCAAATCAAAACCTCCCTCCAGCTCACTTCCCCCTGATTGTTGAAGGACCCGGCGGCCAAGGGTAGCGAGCATTGGCAATGGCCAAAGGCGATTCATCTTGAAACGGATGCCTTGCAGGACGACAATGTCAAGACGGCGTGACTGTCTGTTGACGACGGAACGGCGAGGAGTGTCCTCTCTCACGCACCATGGCCACATTGTGTGCCTTTGCCAAGGTCCTAGGCCTGCGCCAGGCAGCTTCCCTGAAAAATGATTACTGGATTTCTAGCAGAAGATGCTAAACACATCAGGATCCAATGCCTGTGTACGCCTGACAAAGCAAGCTCCAACCCCAGTACATGCAAAGCGTTTGCCTGTAGAACATCAAGGTGTACAGGATGCAGCCAATCATCCACACATCGACCTTCTCCGAGATCGGAAACCTCAGTTCGTAGGAACTGAATGCGCGTAAAATCTTCACAACATTGGATGTCAAGAAATGTCAGAGTCTGCACCTCCTGCCACAAATTTGAGAATCAGGCTCCGCGTAGAAGTCGACCATCTCTGGAGGCCTTGGCCCATGCAGCAAGATGCTCCGCAAGATTCCTGCAAGATTATGTTAGCCTTCATGGGATTCTGCCTCCATAGAGCTCCTACTCCTAGCCTGAAGTGATCAGCTGACTGTCTAAGCGACAGCCCAGTCCTGCGTACAAGCACTGGTGCTTGTTCCGCCATTCAGCCCTGACACCACCTCATTTCAGAAACCATCATGCCGCTCAGCACTGGGCCGATAGATCATGGTGGTATACTTGTCTATCTGCTCCTGCAGAACTTGAGGCTTCAAGGATGCCAACAACTGGGAGACTCGGAGACCTGCCTCTAAAACCTTAAATGAGCAGTACCCTCATCAAGGCCAGCGAGCTCCTGCAGGGCTGAAAGAGCTGGTTTGTCCAGGGTGCCAGGCTCAAGACCTGGGCAGTTAGCGGCGGCGTTTGTTTCAGCTGAATGTTTGAGGTGAGTTGATTGGGGCGGTGGCTCCGGCCTTCACAGAATGAACTAGGCTGTTACGTTGCTCTAGCCATAATATGCCACGAGAACATTAGCCTGGCCAGAGAAGCACCTTGCCCGCTTCGCTGGGCTTGCATGGCACAGTGAGATGACGCGTTTGAGATCTGACCGTTCTTGCAATCACTGCTCCAGGAGCCGTGCACTCATCACTCCATGACCCGAAATCCAGGAGCCTCGATGCAGGAGTCAGCTCAGAAGCACAAGATCTTTGCTGCCCGCTCCATGGGCACCTCTAGGATCACTTTATTCCACTGGCACATGAAAAGTAATGTCGCATGCACATGTTGTACTGGTGCCGCAGCCTTGGGACATAAATGCCGCTCACAAGATTGGTAGGCTTGTAGACATCACACTGTCAATCAACGCAATCAGCAAAGGATGCTCGAGCTGTATCTTGAAAAATACGATCAACTCATGCGAAACACAACGTTACTACAGCGTAGTCAACACTGCAGATTCTGTGAAAGACTTGTATGTCTCCAAGGCGGCAGAATCAATGCTTCAACACAGATTTAAGCCCTCGTCACCGCACATGGTAGGTGAAAGGCATCACCCGTCTAAGGAGCCACTTTAAGGAACACTTGACAACTCTTTCGTCCAAGGTGCTTCCAGTGCCCGTCGCTACCCCTGAGCACGTTCTCAACCTGCACTGGTGCTTTGGAAGCAGTTAAGGCAATAATGATGCAAAGGTCTCAGACGCGGTCTTGCATAAAAACTCGAGGCTCTGCAAAGGATTGCAAGGAGGCTTCGAAACTAGGATGTTCGATCTCATCATCAACGCCAGCCACACGATTCAAGCACCTTCAGCACTCATGCATGCTTGTTTCTCACTTTGAACCCACGTTGACAGAAGGCCAAACAACATCTCTCCTCCATCTTTCTTGCTTATTCATCTTGGAGAGTTACGGGATGAACAGTTCCTACCTCAGCTTATTGCCTTCGAAAGCTCTCCACCACTCAAATCTGGAAAATCTGTCATCCATTTGTGACAAGTTGTCTGGGATGTCTTGAAGGGACATATAGACTGCCGACACCAAGGTGATAATCCAGCTCGAGGAGCTGTCCATTTTCTGGCGAAAGAGGGTTGTCCGTGGAGTAGCAATGTTTGTGTGTGAGGCCTTGTGCTCCAAGTCCTGGGGCTAGCAATGCTCCCTGGCATTCGCGAGTCTGTTTCAGAATTCCTAGCAGCCTGGAGTTGCTCAGCTTCTGCGGGTTTTCTTCACATTATCTTGCTTTCGATTCTAATTGCCGTATAGAGTGGTGTCCTGGTGCTGCCGGTTCTCCTCCAGGCTTGGGCTTGGTTGGCCGTGTTTGGCCACCCCACCCTATCATAGCTTCTCCAAGCTGAGAGCCATCTTTTCATAACAGCTCCCGTACTTGCAATGGCACACCTGCAATGGATTTCACCAGGCCCGCTGCTTGGAACAGCCAGGCATGAAGCTTCGGCATGTCGAAGCTTGCTGCCCCAAGACGCGTCACAGATTTCCAAACATAGTCCAACAGCAGTTGCGCCTCACAAGGTTCCAGAATGGACGGAAGAGACCCATTGTTAGTCACTTCCTCCCACTCCTGATACGTAGCTTGTGCTGTTTGTTGTATGCTTTTGGCACTCTTTCAGCCGCCTCCTTCCCCTCCTCAGTAGCCAGCTCTTCTGGGCATTCTTGCTCGAAGTTTGTGGCACACTGCTCCCACTTGCAAGCAGTGATCATGTGTGGAGCGTTGCATGGAGGTAGTTTGGTCCTCTCATCGCATTCCGCTACTATGGCCTGCACCATGGTATTGAAGCAGGAACTTTTCTAGCCGAGGATGTGATTGTCCACAGCCAACGCGGACAAATATGGAGGACTCCAAGTCACAGCCTATGCAAAGCCAAAAAGGACTGCAGCCAGCTTGCCTTGATGCGTCTCGGAAAGAAGACGGCAACAACTCTCATTTCTCTCTCATGAACGCCGAACAAGTTATTGTGTGCACTTCCCATTTTGCAGCTCGGTCTATGCCATGGTGTTCGACTGCTTTGATTGCCTTGATTTGCCTTGGTGTGCAGGGGGTGTCGTTTCGGGTTGCTCAGCTGCCTCTTCAGCAAGTCACGTAAGGATGGGTGTCGCGGGATCTGATGAGGTATCTGCGATCTCAACCAAGGCGTGACGTGATTCTTTTGAAACGCATGTTGATAGAAGACTAGCAGCGCGTGCCATTTTACGACACGGAAAGGCTTAGCGCGTTTTAGAAAAGAAGCAATTCAAGGAGATCAGCTTCCTCTCTCCCCCCTCCCCTCTCTCTCCTCTCTGAGACTCCAGAAGTGCGACCTTCAGGTCACGATGTTGCACAGGTGGTAGGAAGCTGTGCAGCACCGCCACACCCTTAGACAATGGCTCCATGAACTAGGAAGCTGTCAGCTTTCCATCTGCAAAGCATGTAACGCCGGTATGCTTCTGAAAATGCCAAATGCACTACGGCCTGATCATTTTTGGAAACTCCGCTTCCACAAAATCTCCTATTCCTAGACCATTGCTGAAGGCCCTGAACTGCCCTGCGTTTTTGGAAATGGCTTCATAAAAACATACTGTGCAAGTGTCATGGTGCAATGCTCTGGCAAGCTCAGTGTACTTGGGCATGCTACTTCTGGACAAGGCTGAGTCAGGTCCATGCTCCGTCAAATTCTAGAAGGAAAACGATTTCAGCTTCTCAGCTAGCTGCAGTACTTAGATCATGTCATTCCTCGAGCTGAGTACACAACAGCAACCACCTCGGACAAGGTGTGGACGATGAGCTTTTCGGAGAGCTTTCCCTGCTCATGATTGTTCTGCACATACTGGAAATGAGTCCCATGAACCACCTCGAGTGGCTACCAGCGATGCCCTCGCCAATCTCACTCCCTGAGTTGCCTCGTGCTTGTCAAGGAAGTGTAGGAGGTGCCCACCCGAGCAGAACTCAAAGAGCAGGCCAACCTGGACAAAGAAAAGGCACACCAAGAGGCAACACCCTGAAGGAACTGCAAGGCCAAAGGGCCAAACAAAAAGCTGAGCTTCCAGATGCCACGATCCTTTGCAAGCACGCTTTCCTCCCACGCATCGCTTTGGATGGCCAAGACCTAAAACACTGCCGAGGTCCTTAGCCCTGCGATGCACGCAACCTGCTAGTCATATGCTTACCAAGAAGCGTGCAGCAGCTGCTGACATGAGCATGCCCGGTACCCAAGATTGTGTTAAGATTGTGTTTTCAGTTCTAATGCCATTCATCAGCACAGAGAACGCTTCAAAGAAAATGCCAGGACCCTTACGCAGTGGCCTTTGTAATTGACAGATCAAACCACAAAGATAGCTGAGCAGCCATTGGAGCAACATCAGACAGCGAACAACAACAACAACAACAACAGCAGCAGCAACAACAACAACAACACGCATCATACTCATGAAACTGCGACCAATTGTCATAACAGCTTCTGCCTCCAAAGACATTTGGGTTCGGGTGCATGCTCAGTCAGGCAGATCTCAAAAATGTAGCTCAACTGACAGATTTGATTGAGCCTGCTGTTGGCTTCACGGGGGAAGCTATTCACATCTTCTGTGACCCTGCTCTCTTGCGGTCAGCGACTAATGCTAGAGTCGTAAGAACAACAGTTCTTGCGTCCGCCTCCAGTCCAAGATGCTCCGGGTTTGGACAAGGTCTTGCAGATTGAGATGTCCACGTTGTTGCTTTTGCAACTTGCATCTTGGAATGTCACTGCGGCTCGTGGCTTGTTAAATGCGCTTCCTGCCAAACAGAACGAAGCCTCAGAATGAGGAGTAGCCCGACCAGAGGCAACGGGGAACTGCAGCGCCTTGATCTGAGCCCGTTCTGCATCAACAGTCATGTGTTGTGCATATTGACATCGTAAGTCTCGGGTCTAGAGCTCTTTAATTGTAATTGACAGAACCACAGGCTGCAACTCTCCCCTACATTTCTTGACAAGACTGGTCTTGGCTGTAGGAAGCATAGACCTCCTTCAACAATGTGGCTAACTTGGCAGATTGCAGCGTTTGAGGCCACTCTTGTAATGAAGCTTATGATATACATTTCGGTACAAGTTGCTCTTCTTGCAGCAGCAGTGGCACCAGCCCTCCGTTGCATCCTTCGTTGCAGCAAGGTATGTGCCACGATGGTGCTCCCCTCTTTACTTTACGCCTACTTGGGCAAAGCTCTTGTTGAATGATGGTCAACTGACTTTTACTCACAGCATAGGTCCTCATGACAGACATAGAAAGCAGGATATGATCGCACGTTGCCACTATTTTGGGCCAGGTTCATCAGCGCTGCAAGCGCCATATTGATCTGCCCATGAGCAATCAAAGCCGCTGCTGGAGGGGCAGCCTAGCACAGGCATGAGACACTGAGGAACTGCAACGCATCTCATGATACGATGAAATGCAACCAGCTCTCTCAAAAAAAAATCTGGATGGACTGCAAACCAGCTGGTCCCAGAACATAACATCACGTTTCCAGGGAGAAGTATGATTACATCGCTTTCCTCACAAGCCCTCCAGATCTTCCAACTTGATCTCAAGAAGAACGCAACTGCGATCTCACTATCTTCAGAAAAATCAATACGAAAGATAGGCGCTTAGACGCAAGCCCCAAGCAGGATGAATCATGTCCGTGTTCCTGCCGATCTACACCCGGGGCTCGTGCTCTCTGTCAAGGCTGGGTTGTTGTTCGTGATGAGCTGCATGTTGCTCAGCGTGGCCTTGATGAAGACTGCTGATACCAGAAGGAGAACGGTAGTGGCAACACTTGTACATCTAGTGCAGATATTCGGAACATGATCAATCATCCAAATCATCATGATAATCCTCATCATCTTGGCTGATTTGTTCGTTATATTTCGGTTTCATCCCTATCATCATCACCATGAAAGATGGATGGACGGAAGGATGGATGGATGGATAGATGGATGAAGGCTTACAGCCCTAGCTGCAGCCGCCCACGCTCTCCCCACATCTCAGGTGGGCAGCTCTGCAAGCATCATGGCCGCCCTGCGCCAAGGGTTCGAGAGGGCTTTTGGTATTGAAGGGAGTATGCGAGTGAGCAGAGCGGGTAAGGAGGGTGGTGGGGTGGAGAGATGTCGCCGAAAGGAAGCAGGCCGCAAAAGGAGAAGGAAAGGCAAAACAGCGCATCCAAACAAACGTGGCCCGCATAAACCGTTAGAAGGGGGGGCTGGCAGGAAAGGCAGGTCCCATGCATGGCCCAACAAAGAAATACGAACTGGTACAGTGACATGCCGAGGCATGGCAGAAAAGGCGAGCAATACCTGAATGAGGCCACTCAGACCCAAAAACAAGGAAAAAGAGGAAAGACACGCCAAACCAGAGGGCTCCAGAATAAGCCAGCCACGACAAACAAGCGGAAGTGGGCAAGACAGGCGTGAATGTGGGAAGTATAAGTCCCAACACAGCAGGGGAAGAAGCATGAGAAGGACAGACGCCAGCCCTGCGGGCAAAACAAGTATGGATGGTGGCAAGTGAAAGCTACAACCCAGCAGGGGAAACGGCACACTATCACCACCATCATCGCCGTCATCATCATCAACATCACCATCATTATGAATCATAATCATCATTACCATCATCCGCATCCTCCCCACCATCACCATCATCGTCGTCGTCACCATCATCATCAGCAGCAGCAACAGCATCATCACTTTCTAGAATCATGGCCTGTGAAGCCGCAAAGGGCTGCTGCTAACTTCGCAGTCGCTGCCATATTCTGGTGAAATTTTCAAGGTAGTGATCAATTCGATGTGGTCCTAGCCTATAACATCCTGGCCGCATGGTGTTTTCGTCGTGGTCGTCGTGTGGTCGTGGTGGTCGTGGTGGCCGTGGTGGCGTGGTGGTTGGTCCTGCTAGTTGTGGCGGTCGGTGGTCGAGGTAAACGTGACTGAAAGTGGCAATTGTGGTCACAGTTGTTGTGGTGGTCTTGGCGATCCTGGCGGCAGAGTGGTTGTTGTGTGGTTGTGGTGGTCAAAGGGGGCATGCGCGATATCGTCGCTTGGGGATGAGCGGGACACCTGTGCGGGGGGATGACCATGGGCTGGTGGACAAGGGGTGGGTGAGCGCGGCTGGTGGACAAGGGGGGCGGTGTGTCATCTTGCACTGGGTTATGTGCGGAGACTGATGGATAAGGGGATGCGCGATATTGTCTGCGACAAAAGGGGAGGGGGGAGGGTGCAATATTGCTGCTGCTGCTGCTGCTG